GAATAGTAATAACTGTACTGCAGTATTTAATGAGTAATACACTATACTTATCCGTTATTCAGATTGAATGTGTAGGAAATAGTACAGATGAAATACTTTTAATTATGTCTTTCTAAGTCTGAATGTTATTACTAAATTATTAATGGCTTAATAAGGTTCCCCCCCCTAATTGGTGATGTTATTTTATCATTTGTGTCACTATTATCAATCCATTTTTTAAATTATATTAACATCTAACATTTTATGATCCAATCATGATTCTAGTATGAATACTACATAACATAATGTATGGATAACAAGGGACACTTTGTCCATCAAGGATGTTTAACCACTCTGCGTGTTTGAGCACTTCATCAATTCCTCTGTAAAATACTGGAAGATGTTGGATTCCACTACTCACAATGGTACCCAATTCCACAAATCAATTAAAGAATAAAACTGTTCTAACTGAAGCCCTGGCCATGTTTATCATCAGAATATAATTACAAAAAATCAAAAGCTTTTATTCTATCGATCCTCTGGATAATCTTATGAGTTTCGATAACATCACCACTTGGTTTGTTGAATTAATACAAGTTTCAATAACGTCACCACTTGGTTAGTTGAATTAATACAAGTTTCAATAACGTCACCACTTGGTTAGTTGAATTAATACAAGTTTCAATAACGTCACCACTTGGTTTGTTGAATTAATACAAGTTTCAATAACGTCACCACTTGGTTTGTTGAATTAATACAAGTTTCAATAACACCACCACTTGGTTTGTTGAATTAATACAAGTTTCAATAACATCACCACTTGGTTAGTTGAATTAATACAAGTTTCAATAACATCACCACTTGGTTAGTTGAATTAATACAAGTTTCAATAACGTCACCACTTGGTTAGTTGAATTAATAACATCACTCCTTGTTCTTTTTTCTCAAGAGAAAATAAGTTAAGAGCACTTATTCCTGAAAAATAACCCATACATCCCAGTGGCCCTCCTCCCAACCCTTTCCAATAATTCTTTCTGTATGTTTGTTTAATTTTGTATAACACTACCCGAGGGCTATCTGTACTAGCCATTCCTAATTATGCCTAAAGGGTAGATAGGTAGTCAACTCCACCCAACACCTGCACCTGGACTACTCTTGTTGGATCAAATAATGGAAATTTGCCATCTCTCATAAAACACAGATAACAGCATGTTCTTATATTATTTTTGGCAACAACAGGTAACCTCCAATCCACATGCTAGCCACTTGGCCCAGTAATAAGTTGGTATAACATCATAGATAAGGAAACCAAACCTGTACACAAAAATGGATTCTACAATTATAAGCTATTACCAAAGCTAAAATGAACATTGAATTAAACATGACATACACACCCTTTACCATTGTTATAGATACTGTAATTACAGCTTTGTGTACGTACTCAATCCTTGATCCTCTTGATATTGAAACATTCAAGAAAGTTAAAGTAGTAATTAAATCACCAATTATTGTTATAAAGGGCTAACTTATCAGGAATGTTGAAGAAAAAAATCAGAATGTTAATGGGGATTTTAATCACAAATATGAAGATCTACTTCAAACATTTTACTTCTAAGGAGAACCTCAAACACCCACTGCTATGTAGTGATTTACTAAATAATTAATGATTATTTATTGCCTAATACAAAAAACTTTGTGTCATCTAAGTTTGTTTTTTAACCCAAATGTATGTTTTTAAGTATTTTTGTTCTATAAATCAAATAATTACCATCAAAACATATAGTTAATGTTTTAAAATATGTGCCTAACTTCTCATGTTGGTGTTAATATATTTTTAAAAATGAACCGATATATTCTGATGTTACTATTTTATATGTATATTTCCTGAAACTTATACACACTATGGTTATACATTTACGTTTTCAGCTCTTGGTATTAGCGGAAAGACCTCGTCGGCACCGGATATAGCATGGCCGACGAGTTAACATAGCTCTTGTTTTCACTTACCCAGTTAAAATTATCGTTTTGATACATTCAAAACTATCACATCTTCTGGGGTGATGTATTATTGATTGTACAAAAACAGTAATATTTCCTGTTCCTTAAGTCACGTGTTTCTTACTGGTGAACGATGCAGACAAACACATAAGGATGGTTCAACAACTTTTAATGTTTTTCATTAGTAATGTTTACGACTTGAAACTAAATATTCAAAAATTATACTAGGCCGTAGATTAATCAACAAAAGAAAACCCTGGTATTTGTGTTATCTATAAGACTAAATATTAACGTGTTTCTATTTTAAAAGTAGTATAGACATCACAATAAATGGAACCAGCTGGCTCAGGATATATTCTTTTAACTTGGTTTTTTACTTAACCCTCAACGCCGAAAATATGCTTCACGGGTGCAGCGCCATCTATTCGAGATGACTCGCAATAGCGAGTTACTACAGAAAATGTGGTTCGTACGTTAGTTTCTGGATTTCCCCAGAAAATGCGTGATCAAATTATCTTAACTATATGTTACTCACAAAACTACTCGAGGGCTATCTGCACTAGCCGTCCCTAATTTTGAAGTGATATAATACAGGGAAGGCAGCTAATAAACATCATCCATCGCCAACACTAGGGCCATCCTTGTGAAACGGAATAGTGGGATTTGACCGTTACTCCTGTAATGCACCCACGACTTCAAAATACGAAGCAAAGTTTTTTTTAAATATTTTTTGTAAGTAACGGCGTGATATATGTAACCTCAGATCTACAGTCCAACACGCTAACATCTAGCGCGTGCTCGGCCTCAAATAATATCAAACACATTTTTATGCTTATAAAAATCATTGATCGTGTATTAAGAAACGTCCCCCAAATTTAGGACAAATGTTAAGTTCAACATTGTGACTGATCGTTTCGGATTAGTTTGTAATTAAGCACAAAGCTACACAGTGGGCTATCTGTGTTCTGTCCACCACGGGTATCGAAACCCGGATTCTGGCGTTGTAAGTCCGCAGACATAACGCTGTGCCACTGGGGGGCTTCACATTAGTTACCGTGTATCTGGAGATGCAAGTATCGATGATAATATCTCAACCTTACATCCAGCAATTTATGACGTTTCACTCTTAAAAAATAAAAACGTTAATTCTACCTAATTGATCTCATGGTCAACCAATTACCATGATATATATATTATTTTTTCACACTATTATTAGGGCTTATTACTCAAATTTAAACTCTCTCTTTTTTTTATGTAACACTTAAAAGATCAAATTTTAAAACTGCTGTGGATAGCGTTACGTGTATCTTTAAAAATATAACGTCATGTCTGATGAGGAGCGGTCGATTCAAGCTCCACTTAAATAAGTATTGTACCAATTTTCCGTATATACTAACAATACATGTAAAATCCACACCGATAATGATTACGTGAAATATCATTTATGCTCCGTTTGTGGAAATCGAGACCCTTTTTTAAGCAGACGCATTAGTCTTAACACGCTAGAGACTGCGATGGTTCTTATTTAAAAGTCACTACTGTATTGAATCTGATGATATTTACAGTATTGACGTCAAGCGATGACGTCTTGATTAAAAATATCTTATTAAAATTTTACTGGCACGTGCATAGATTTATGAATCGTGTTAGAAATGTATATATCATCCTTGTCTTTGTTCACAGCACTCTTAAGAACACAACTCCTGTTATAACATACAAAACCTAATCTAAACTTCAAAATTATTACAACCAGTAAGTAAACAAACTGATTTCACATAAAAAAGATATCGGGTCGCTATACTTTATAGCCCTTCATCTGAAGACATTGTTATGTGAACAAAGATTGACTACTCTTGTCTGAAACTCTGAACGAATAGTGAGATTTGAATATCACCATTATTAATGCGCACCCATGGTCTCAAAGTGCGGGAAAGGGTCGCGAACCATGAACCCTCGAATTCACAATCCAAGATGGGACAACATTAGGTCACGTCCGTACGCCATCGATACAGAACAGAACAAAAATAAATGGTAATTTGAAGATTAAGATAACTGATTTTTAGTTCATTTACGAAGTTAATGAACAGTTTACATTAGCTAGTGCTTAAAAATAAATCTGTAGAATTAATTTGAACGATGGTTTCAGGTATTAATCATATTTCGATATTACTATTCCTGAATTTTATAATTATCTATTTGTTATTTAACCTCGGAATTCCGATTCTATATATATATATATATTTAATGAGCTGATATGAAATTTCAAAGTATACATCATTCAAAGGCTATTTATATAACAATAAGTATACCGTATGAAATAAATGTTAGTAATAACCCTGTAAATAATTATTATTCTATATCTGTATCAAGCAAACTATAGAGTAAAGATTGTTTATTTTAGTCTTTAGTTTTTTAAGTCTTGTTAAATACAATATTTTTCCACAGTGGGGAGTATATTTATATCACAAGTCTCTGAGATTTATCCAAACTATTCAATTTCAGTTAATAAAACAAATATTTTAATCACATACTGATGTTAGGAAAACGCGTACGTTTAAACAAATCAACTTAAGAAGAAAATTCAAAAACTCTATAACCCGAGTGCTTTCGAACGGTGGACCTCTTCATTCCAGTCCACCTTTCAAAAGCGTTCGGGTTATAGGGTTTTGTTTTCAATTACATAAAACATTTAAAATCAAATCATCGGTGGAACTTTTATCACATTGTTCGTTTGCAGACTTGAAACCAAATCCATACCGACAGACGGACGATATGTCACAACCAATGCTGAACTCAATGGTGGTTAGTCAAACGCTACAGATGTGTAGACTGCGGTAAAGTACCTTTCAAACAACTAGCTACTGGGCTCACATAAATAACACATACATATATAAAAGTCCACACATCTTTCGTTACAGAACTGAATCGGTTTCTAACTTTTACAATATTTATTTCTGTTAAAAACGGAATACAATGTCTGTTACAAGCCAAGTGTTTAGCTTTTTAAAACATTTAATATTATAGTTTAACGTCCTGTTTTATCATATACGACACTTTTAGTCTATAATTACAGTACGTAGTATTTCAATGTGGCATTATGCAAATTTCTATCTTGTTGTTAAAATTATAAATAAATATATGCACGTTTATTTACGATATTATAAGAGCAAACGAGAGAGAGAGAGAGAAAAAAGGAGAACTAGAAAAAAAGAACAACGTTATAATTTTTCAATAGCAATGGCCTTAAAGAGATAAACAAATGCGGTAAGTATTCTATATTATCGAAACACCTTCTTCAGGTTTGTCTCGCTCTGTACGAACACGACACATTATACATTTAGTTGCCGGAAGAAGCGATAACCCTAAAACCAGCTCCCACACCCGTCTTGTTGTTGCTAGGTGAGATTGCAGTCTTGGTATTTCCCGATGGCCAATCACAGAAAAGGAACAACTGTAATTTAACCAATCACGTGCGCGAAGATATGCCATATTTTACCTATGTTAAAACCTTTGTGGGTTCGGCCTTGAGGGATCACGAATCTTTAACTACGACCGTAATAAGAATTAAATTTAACACGTAGCGAAAAACAAGGGAAACAACCTAAATACATGAAAAAACAAGTTATTTAAGTAGGTTGTGAAGGGTACTTTGTTTTTATGTATGCGTCATAACATTTAATAAAATAGTCGATTAAAAACGTGATTCCAACGAAATGACAAAACGTTGCTACATTACACAAAGAACTGGCCTATATCACAATTAACAGTATTTTCAGTCTGGAAAATCAGATAATTTTTCTAAGAAAATTGACTTGCTGAAAAAAAAAACAAAAACACCTCATACATTTGAGGAAAGTAACCACAGAATTAATATTTATCCTAAACTATGCCAGAGTTATATTACTAAGTTGTTCTCTCTCTCCTATTTAGGGCGTTGTTTCTGATGATAAACATCAATTGTGTATAAATGTTTTGAAAGAGGAATGATTGTATATCAGTGCCTTTATCTTGTTTTCCTATAAAAACTACAATTTAGATTACGAACTTTATTTAACTCCGTGTTTGGGGTTCACAAAAATTTTGTGAATGAACGGTGGAACATGAATTTCAAATTTCAATAAGTAACTGAATATCGTCTTTATCCTTAATACATAATTAACTGACAGTTGTTAAATTGAGTTATAGTAAGCTCTGGATTGAAATTCCATAAACCAATTGCATTACAACTTTTATTAGGGTTAGCATGCAATGTGAACAACATAAAAACGTATGTATACTACAGGAAATATGTTGACAAATCAAGAAATTACATTGTATACAAGTAAGTAGTATTCAACCATTCCTTATACAAATTGTGTATCAAAAAAATGCCATAGTTAATCACACTCCTATATTCAAGTTATTATTCACCAAAAGATAATGAGATTACCACAATCCTGCAAAATACAATTCAAATAAAACTGAAAGACCCCAACACTAATGTATCCTCATGGTAGGCTATGTTTGAAAATCCAATAAGCTGGATAAACAAGGTTTCTATAAAATAAGACATTATAAGCAATCAACACAGAGAACACTTGCTTACCACAACGAGTTTGTTTTTAATTAAGCACAAAACCACACAATGGGCTATCTGTGCTCTTCTCACCACGGGTATCGAAGCCCGGATTCTACACGTTGTAAGTCC